GAAGATCATCAGGCTGTTGGTGAAAACTCAACAGATTTTGTTTGGTTTTTTGGACAAACGGTTCGGAATAAGTCATGTTGTCCTTTACAAATAAAGGAGTGAAAAGAACTTAAAGAACATGAAATTAACCATATGTGGACCATTATCAAGGTGAGACAGATAAGAAATAAATATTTATAATATTTTGTATTTTATTTAATAAATTAAAGTGTAGAATTTGAAACTTATTTATCTTATATGCTTTTCAAGAGAAGTTTGTATTTGAAGAAGTAGAAGGAAGTAAAGAAGCCATTTTTGGTCACATGAATGTCTTATATAGGGATTACAGATACAAAATGAAAAAAAGATATTTTGATTCAAAACCAACTTACCAAAGTCGTCTGAAAAACAAGCCTAAACTTGTTCATATGGACGATTGGAAGTATTTGGTTAATTATTGCAGTGAGGCAACCTTTCAAGTAAGCACAGCTATTTAAGTTACATTTTAGCATAATTACTATATAATTATAAGATATAAATATAATTGCTTATTTTATCATTACACAGGAAATGAGTAACAAGAATAAGACAAACAGATCAAAGCGATTTATGCCTCCTTACATAGGAACTAAAAGTTATGTCTGACTCAAACATCAAATCGTATGAATTTGCTTTCAAATATGAGATTAAGTTTAATAATTCACTTTCATTATTTTTTTAATCAATATGTTCATAACTTTTACTATGACAGCAAAAGAAAAATGGATATTCTCCTTCTTGTGTTGAAGTTTGGATAGAATCTCGCAAAAGAAAGAAAGATAAGTAAATTGAATCCAGTATAGAAGACATTATTGTAATAGCTTTGTATTCTCTTTAACTACTTTTTTATTTTTTATTATGCACACACATCCAAGCTAATACCATAAATTTGTTTTGCAATCACATCGATTAAAAAAACAACAAGTAGAAGGACAAATCTTATTAAATGATGATGAAATATTTGAATAGGTCCTTGGTCCAAAGAAGAATGGCTATTTGTGTGCTTATGGTCCAGGAAAAAGTATTACCGAATATTTTGGAAGTAGATCAACTAAAGCACAACTTATGAAACAAGTACAAACAACTAGGAAGGAAGCAAATGAAAGGGTGGAGGAGGCAAAGAGGGAAGCAAATGAGAAATTAGAAGTGAAAAAGCAAATGGAGGAGATGAATAGACGATGGGAAGAGAAGTTCACGATGATGCTTACAACTCAAGGTCAACAATCTTCAACAAATAACTAAATCCTTTTGGATGAAATTGTAAGTTATTTTGAAAANACTTTTTAACTAATACAGTAATTCTTAAGTACATACCTCAAGTGGGATATTACAATTCTCCCCCCCTTAAAAGAATTTCATCCCCGAAATTCACATGAATAACTCCGGGTATCTCTCCTACATGTCCTGTTCTGTCTCCCATGTGGCCTCCTCTACTTTGTGATTCCTCCAAAGAACCTTCACTAGTGGCATACTCTTGTTCCGAAGCTCTTTAATCTTCCGATCTAAAATCTGTACAGGGCGCTCCTCATACACAAGATTCTCTACAAGGTCGACATCTTCTATACTCAAGATATGGAAGGGATCACTTACATACTTCCGCAGCATTGAGACATGGAAGACATCATGTACCTTGTCCATACGAGGTGGTAGTGCCAACCTGTAGGCAACTTTTCCAATTCGTTGTAATACTTCAAATGGACCAATATATCTTGATGCTAACTTTCCTTTGTTCCCGAAGCGCATTACTCGTTTATAAGGGGAAACTTTCGAAAATACCTTATCACCCACTTGGAACTCCACTTCTTTTCTCTTTAAGTCGGCATAACTCTTCTGTCTGTCTTGGGCTTGCTTCATTTTGTTTCGGATTAATCTTACATCCTCTATCATTTTCTGTGTCATTTCTGGCCCAAGAGCCGTACCCAACTCACTCCTTTCACCAATCTCATCCCAAAGTAGTAGAGACCTACATCGTCTACCATACAAAGCCTCATAAGGTGCCATCTTTATTGTAGACTGATAACTGTTATTGTAGGCAAACTCCACTAAAGGTAACATTTCATGCCATGTCATTCTATAATCCATACAGCAGGCTCTCAACATGTCCTCAAGCACCTGGTTCGTTCTCTCTGTTTGGCCATCTGTCTGAGGATGATAGGCTGTACTGAATGCCAAACGGGTACCCAAATTTCTTTGCAAACTAGTCCAGAANTGTTAATTATAGCAATATTTGTACAATTAATTTTAATTGAAGCAATAAATTATAAATTATTTGTTCCATAGCAAATAATTATAATATTTAGCTGCAAATTAAAGTATTTATAGCAAGTTATTTCAATATTTAGCTATTAACAAACTATGTCTATAGTAACTGAATTTCACATATAGATATGACTTCAATATGTTCATAGCAAATAATTATAATATTTAGCTACAAATCAAAAGTATTAATAGTAAGTAATTTCAATATTTAGCTATTAACATAGTATGTCCATAGCAATATCTTTTCATATACAGATATGACTTTTATATGTTTGTAGCAAAAAAATTAACATTCAGCTATGAATTCACTAAATATGTGGCAAATGATATTTTTATTTAGTTACGATTTTAGTTATCACGTAGCGAAAAGGTTAATATATTTGCTATAGATATTATTTTTGTGGCAGAAATTTCCAAGATTTAGTTATAAATTTATATTTTTGTAGATAAAATGCAAACATAGCTATACAGACTATTCTTCGTGGCTATAAAGACAAAGTATTTGCTACAAGCATATTATTGTTATGGCAAAAACATTTAAGTTTTTAGTTACATATTAATCTCATCTATAGCAAAAAATATAAACTGGTAGCTACGTAAGCAAAAAGTTACATGTTTAGCTACGCCACTTCTAGTTATGATAAACTACAAACATTGAATTTGTAGATAAACCATTTAGCTACGTAAATTCATACTTTTAACTACAATGAACGCTATGGCTAGAAATGCATAATGTTGTAGTGAATGTCAAGCCAATCTATTTCTAGTAGTGTGTCTTTGCTATTTTCTTTATTGAATTCAAGAGTGTATAATCCCGATTTTGTGAGAGGGAGGTGCCTATTTATATTCGTTGTGCTCAAGGTAATGATTACATTTTTACTAGTAGCTTAGTGCCGTGCAAATCTCTCATGTCTTCCCATTCATTGAAAACTCAAAAAATATCCTTAAATTAAATGGGTTTGTACAGGTATACGAACCAAATTCATTCATAGACAAATGTGTGAGTCAATTGAGTTGTTAACAGCTATATTCTATCTATCTTTGGAGACATGGCAGGTTCTGAATGGGGAAAACTCTTTCTGAACTTTGATTAGTGCTTGGTGATGTCAGTATAGATCGGCCCTTATTTTAGGCATAACAACAATAGATGTAATTATGATTGTATATATAAAACATTGCAGCCCAACAGAAACGGCAGAGAGCCACCATTCTATTTAAGAACATTTTCAAAAGAAAGACCAATTCAACGATATTGCGCATCAACCCAAATACGTTCAGGCATATTCTAATCCCATGTTTTTGACTAAAATATCATATAAAATGAAGTAAGATTAACAAACTAATTAATTCACTATCTAATGAAATAAAATATTTATAAATTCAATTTTAATAATTTATCAAAAGTCTAAGTAAAACAGATTAGTCGTTTGATGTTACAAACCGAGCAGCTGAGAAATTGTAATTTGTAAGGATGTTGTAGTTTGTGGACCTGCCCTTCGTAAAAATTTCAAGATACAGACAAGTCTTTCCTCCATATTGGTCCCAACTCCCAAGTCTTGCCCTAATAAAACGGCAAGGCTGATCCCACGGGGACGTTTACTTACTTTAGTTGAGTCATTGTCTTAGTCTTCCCTATTCTTTAATATGACAATTGACAAGTAAATATATTAATGAAATGGTTCTCATGTGTCTCCTAAATTCTTCTTTCAATTTTATTTTATTTTTTTTAATTTTGATGATCGCGATGTCCGAACCAATTTACGCATATTTTAACTAATCACTCGAGACTTTAAAACTATCAACTAAGTAAAAGCTTTAGTAACTACCAACTAGAAATATATTGAAATTCAAAACCTTTTGAATAATACACTTAAGAGTGTTTCTATCGAACTACTTAATTACTTAAAAATAGTTATTCTTGTTTCACTTAATAGTTTAATATAATTAATTATTATATTATTTAAGTTAAGTGCCCGATAAATTCTTAGATTTTCTGAATAATTTGGAAACTTACCATTAATAAGTTGGATTTTTTGGTGACATCAACTTTAATTTAGAGTACTCAAAATGAACCAAGAACTTTTAATTAAAATATTGTTTACACACCGATCAATCGATCTCAGGTCAAATTCAAAAGATGGACACTATGATATGATCCAAGGGCTGAAAATTGGCAGCAGACCTGGAAACTTAATGGTTGACTCAAAACCCTTACAAGGGGTATTGACTTGGAAAACTTCACATTAGCTTCCAAAACTCAACTTATTTTCATCTTCGTGGAGTACGTTGAGAGAAAAAACAGCGAGCTGTAATAATTTTAATTTTCTTCAGGACCAAAAACACTTTTCAATATCCTTATTCACCCTTCTTCTCATCTTTCTTCCTGCTTTCTGCTCTGCAAACATTAAACACATTGTATATACATGAACTTGTTTTTGTCTACCTGTTATTCTATTAATAAAAATCATTGTTGTTTGTTAAACCTGCAGGTTAAGAATTTATAAGGTGAACTGAAGTTATTGAAATATATATATATATATATATATATATAAGAAATTTAGGTGAGAAAAAATGACCCTCAAAAAATCAAGTTTACTGTGCGAAAGGCAAATTACCGGAAAGAAATTTGAAAATTCAACAAGAATGGGCTCCACAGCCATGTTTTTTCCACGCGGTATTGCTTATAAAAATCTTCCATGTTAAAACACTAAGACCAACCCATCAATCAAACAGCTCTTGAATTATTCATCGTAGCAAGCGTTGCCACCAAAAACAATGGCTTTCTCTCCGCCTAAACTCCCCCTCTTTCTTTTCACTCTCTTCTCTTTACTCTTCTTCAGTCGTGCAAAACTCAGTATTGATCCTTCTGATTACAGAGCCCTCTCCATTATCCTTAAAGACTTGGACATCAGCGACAGTCAACGCCTCATTTCCACTAATCCATGCAACACCGCCGGCGTTTTTTGTGAGAGGAGGCTCTCAAAGAATAACACCTACATCCTGAAGATAACTAGACTCCTTTTCAATTCTAAGGGCCTTACTGGGTTTGTCTCTCCATCAATTGGACGGCTTTCACAGCTCAAACAGTTGTCTCTAGCTAACAACTCTTTGGTTGACCGGCTACCGCCCCAGATCGTTGACTGCAAGAAACTTGAAACTCTTGACATCCAGAACAACCAATTTTCTGGTAAAATCCCAGCAAATTTGTCTTCGTTGATACGGCTTCGAGTTCTTGATCTTTCAGGGAATAAATTTTCTGGGAATTTGAATTTCTTGAAATATTTTCCAAATTTGGAATATCTTTCTGTCGCAAACAATCTTTTTTCCGGGAAAATTCCACCTTCTATACGGTCTTTTCGCAACCTCCAACACTTTGATTTCTCGGGAAATAATTTCCTTGATGGTCCAGTACCAGTGATAAGCAAAACTGGATCCTCATCGATTCAGTATCCAAAAAGGTACATTTTAGCTGAGGCTCCAACTACAGGAAGGAATAATTCTCTGGGTCCGGCTCCAGCTCCAGGTTCAAAAAAAAACGATTCTAGTGCTCAAGTTCCTAGTCCATCACCATCAACTCCCAAGCACAAAAAAAACAGTAAAAGGAAGCTAAGTGGATGGATTTTAGGATTTCTTGCCGGAGCACTAGCAGGTACCATTTCTGGTTTTGTCTTTTCGGTGTTGTTTAAGTTAATCTTGGCAGCGATTAAAGGTGGAGGTAGAGATTCTGGTCCAGCAATATACAGTCCATTAATAAAGAAAGCTGAAGACTTGGCTTTCCTGGAAAAAGATGATGGTCTGGCTTCTTTGGAAATCATAGGGTCAGGTGGGTGTGGACAAGTTTTCAAGGCTGAGTTGCCAGGAAGCAATGGCAAGATGATTGCTATTAAAAAGGTTATTCAGCCTCCCAAGGATGCAGCAGAGTTGACTGATGAAGATAGCAAGTTATTGAACAAGAAAATGAGGCAAATTCGGTCTGAGATCAATACTGTTGGGCAAATTAGGCACAGAAACCTTTTACCTTTGTTGGCTCATATATCTCGACCTGACTGTCATTTACTTGTGTACGAATTTATGAAAAATGGAAGTTTACAAGATATTTTGAATGATGTTTCTCAAGGCAACAGAGAATTAGATTGGCAAACTAGACACAAGATCGCATTGGGTGTGGCAGCTGGACTTGAATATCTTCACACAAGTCATAGCCCGCGCATTATTCATTGAGATTTAAAACCCGCAAATGTGCTTTTGGATGATGATATGGAAGCAAGAATCGCTGATTTTGGGCTTGCAAAGCAAATGCCTGATGCTCAAACACATATCACCACTTCAAATTTGGCGGGAACTGTGGGTTACATATCTCCAGAGTATCACCAGACATTGAAATTCACTGACAAGTGTGACATATATAGTTTCGGGGTGTTGCTAGCAGTTTTGGTGATGGGAAAACTTCCTTCTGATGAGTTCTTCCAGCATACAGAAGAGATGAGCTTGGTGAAGTGGATGAGAAATGTAATGACTTCCGAAAATCCTAACAAAGCGATTGACTCCAAGCTGTTGGGCAATGGGTTTGAGGAACAAATGCTTTTGGTCTTAAAGATCGCATGCTTTTGCACTGTAGACAATCCTAAGGACAGGCCCAATAGCAAAGATGTTAGGTGCATGTTGTCCCAAATTAAGAAAAATTAGTTAATTATGCAAGGGAATGTTTTCTCAAGATGTGTTAGAATAAGGCAACATGTGATAAACATCCTATGCCTTTGGTTTGATCCAAGTCTGTAAGATGTATAATTATTACCCTTTTCTGAACTTGTGTATCGTTGCAGAAAGTTATAACATACTTCTTTCATATGATTGGAGTTCTTTTACTTTTTCCTCTATAAATTCAGTTACATATATTAAGGTAATTAGTATCAATATCATTTTTTTTTTTCCCTCTTATGCCTTATGTCGTTGGGGCGTCCATCATTTCATAATAATGAGATTACTTTCAAATAATAATGCTACCACCATAATATAACGTGACAGCTTACAATTGGTTAACTGTAATTTATCAAGTAGAATCCATTACGAATTACCAATTCCGAGCAACCACTTCCAGGTTGTAGAGGAAGTATATGAAAAGAGGTTGCATTGTGTAACATTTTCCTTTCCAAATTGACAGCCCATTATATTCCTTTCTTTTAACAAACATGAAGCATTGTATGCCTTGGGGCAATATTCATGAATCTTGCAAAAAACTAGTACACGTTAAATAAAGTAATGTTATATCCACAAACTTTCTCTTACAACCCTTTGGCATTTCACAATTGGTTGCGAACTGATCAATTCCGATGCTACCACATCGAAGGTTATGAGATTAAATTATGATCTAACATTATTTATAACTAAATTCAATGTATTTTTGAGGAAAAAGGCAAGTATCTTTTGAGACTAAAAGTTAGATTCAACTTATTTATTACCAAAATTAAAAAAAAAAAAAAAAATCAGATTGCTTTACTGCATCTCTAAATTTATAAGATTAAAATAAGCAAAATTTGAGCTTGTACCATAACTATATCTGAATTTATTAAATATTAAAATTTTAATATCTTTTACATTTTGTATATTTAATTTAACAAAAACACTCTTTTTGCATCTTTCTAATCAACAACTATCAAATATTTCGTAAAGCTTCACTACAAATTCTACTTTCATAAGTTTTTATTAGTAAACTATACCACCGACTTCCAATAATTAATTTTTGGTGTACTGGTAAAATAGGTATCATCATTTTGTCACAAAGAAGTAGCACTAAAAGACCAGAAAATAGCTGCACACAGAAACACCGAACACGGTCATACACGCTCCTTTAATGCTTAGAAGTCATTGGTTCCCTTCATATTACGTTCATTTCTTCATCAAAGGTGGACGACTGCGAAATTAGCAGGGTCTTCTACAGTTCCAAGGTGGTTAATTAATCACTTCATACTAACCACACTTGGCATCACCATCAAGCCTTTCATTTTGCAAAGGAATTATTGCAAGATCCACTGCACTTTGCAGTAAACCAATCCCAGGTCAATAGTTCATTCTGTAAAGAAATTCCACAAAATTTTATGAAAGTAGAGTAAAAGTTACATCATCCATGTAGTTTTTTCATTTATTATGGATTAAAAAAAATAGAAAACAAGAAAACGTGTCTCTGGAAGGGACCAATCAATTTCACGTTTCTACTTTTCAAGTCTTTTCCTATTTTCCACAGAAAGCCAAATAATTTTTAGTACCGGACGATAATAGAGCTTAATCTTCTACACCTTTAAGTCTTTGACAGTCTCGCAAAGAGTGTTCAGATGGTAAGACTTGTAAACTCCCAAACAGTTTCTTCTAGCCTGCTTATTTATCCACTTATTTGATACAATATAGACATGGTAAACAACTATGGTGCTAGAGAAAGTCAAACCAAATAACGTGCGCTAATTCACATGCAAATGGAATTGGGTTACCCAATATGAGAATGCAGGATGAGAAATGCGAGGAAGAACTTCTGCAGAAAGCAATGCTTAAATCAACCAAGGAAAAGCTAGCTCCTCATTCATATCTATGGAGTTCAATTATCAGACTTAACAGCTAGAAGATAAACACCCCCTCTCTGATTAGAATGACTCTAGGTATATTAACTTCTCTTACACAACTTAAAAATAACAGAGTCATTGGATCCTTACCCAAAAAAAAAAAAAATGACAATAATCAACCCTGAAAACAGGCCCATATAAAGAGGATAAAGATTAATAATAGTGGTGCTGTCAACTCACCCTATTTTCATGATATCAACCAGAAATAATCCTTGTCAATACACACATAAATTTCATTGTTTCTAACCTACTTTTTGTATCTAAAACCAAAACAGACCCGAATAAACTGAAGAAGTTCCATACAAATGGCAAATTTCGAAGCAAAACATTGCAGACCATAGGACCTCTTTCATTAGAAAAACTCTGAAGCTGTAATACGTTGTGAATACTAAGGTAGGAATCTAAAGCATCAATAAGAAAATATTAAAAATTTTAAGTCTCACTAGCAGAAAAGTGCAACAATGACTCCAAATGATTTACCATATTAACACATATAATTACAACAACAAAGAAGGTTGAGAATCATAATTTCAATTAATAAATTTACAAACCATATATGTAGAAACATGAAACTGAACTGGATGAAACGTCCTTGACTCTCCAATATTACATTTACTAATAAAAAATCCTCTTTCAATTTCATAGCATAGCAAATAGAAGACCTTAGTAAAGTTTGTCTCGAGTACCATTGTAGCTCAAAAATCCAGCAGTAACTGAGGAAGAATCCTCTCCAAATGATGGCTTCAACCTTAATGACACCCTCCGCTTCGGCAATTGCAGCAGCCCGTTGCACAGCCTCTGCATTAAGACAAGACTTGAACAAAATGCTATACACAGCAAATTTTAGCCTTGTAAAGAAACAACGAATTCAACCAATAAAGCAACCTGTAACAAATACTCGGAGAAGTTCACAACTCAGCTTCACCGCATTTGCATTAGCTGCATCATAAGAGATTAACATAGAGAAATACCAATCAAACTTGGTTACCATTCAACAAGTATTCACCGAAACAAATAACAATGATAAGAGTTACCAGAAGTGGGCCGTTTTTCTTGGATGTCCCAGCTCCTACCTGATCCAATTATATTTGTTTAGAGACCAATTACAGCTAAATAAAATATATATATATATAATTGATATAAACAAATAGTACCTCGCAGTCCGTAGCATCATTACCACCGTTCCTTTCACGCTCTATAACGGTGAAGAATTAATGGGGTTGATAGAAGGGAGGAGGGGAAAAAGAGTGAGAATTACAAACCTAGAAATCTTCTGGTCCATATTTGCTAAAGATCGCATGAATTAAATCCTAATTATTATGTACAAAATTCACTTTATATATTATACACATTAATTCGGAGAAATTATCCGTAAAAGTTATGGAATTGGAAGCCTTACAGATCAAAAGTGTCGGCCTCCATTGGTGAAGCTTCGAGCCTTTGACTATGAATGAACACTTGTCGATCGCAAGCTGAAATTGAAAGCACATCTAACTCTCTGCGTTGATGTTTTATTGAATTAATAAATATTTTTTCCATGATAACTAACAAATGTGCCCTTATAGCTCCGTGGTAGAGCTCATCTTGTAAACTGAAGGTCCGATTTCGATCCTGCGTGAGGGCTTTTTTCATTTTGTATTGTTACACCGCTGTCGTATTTTTTTTGAACGGACCGTTTTCTCTCCGTCTATTTTTTATTTGTGTATGTCACACGCTGTAGTTTGTTACATTTTTAATTTTGTACTGTTACAGGCTGTCGTCTAACCTGTCAGTCGCTAAACGACATCGTTTACCTCGGTCCATCCAGAACTCATTAACTAACTTAGACTTGAAAAACACACTAAACTTCTGTGTATTAACCTTCTCTTGAGCTCTTTACTTGCATTGGCTTTTGTATGAAACCTCGATCCCCTTCCTCTCAAAACGGCTAATCTATTTCAGAAACTCAGTAGAACAAATCAAATCTAAGAATCTTCACATGTCACAAAATCCCTTTAAATTTCCCGAAATTCACACCTCCTCTTATTACACAAACAACCCCATATTATTTTCAGATCCTTCAACACAGACAGTGCCGTCTTTACTCAAAATTGCAATTTTTCCTAGTTTCCCTTTGGGTATTGCTTGAATCCGATTTCTCATGTGGGTTTGATCATTGAAGGTTATTGAGGCCGGAAGAGTGGAGACTGATGATGCCAGACGATTTGGGCGGATAGTGTGAAGAGAGGAGAAAGAAGATGAATAGCAAAGTACAAGAAGCTTAGGAAGCGTCTGAGCGAAAAACTTAGGCTTATTAGGTGAGGATTTCGGTTTTTAGTGGTGCTTTTCCATCAAGTCTCCTTGGGACAATTTTTGTTTGGACTAGTTTATAGTAATCTTAATAATCATTTAATTATAAATTTGGGGACTTCTTTAGAATCTTGATGCGGAATTCATGTCTTTGAGCTCACATAATATGTTTTACGCAATTAACTTGTAGGTATTTTATTTACAATCACGATATAGAATTGCATAGTTAGATAACATTCTTATTGTGAATGTGCTGCTAGGAATCAAAATTATCGACATATATCATATTGCGTTCTTTCCTGCTCGGCTCTAGGCTTTATTTTTTATGTTAAATAGATATTACTTTGTTGAGCACACTAATATTGTTGAGTTTTGAGTGATTTTATGTCAGAAATTATATTGATATAGCTATTGATGACTTACAATATTACTTCAAACTCCTAGATTTAGTCATATTGGGTTGTTTTCTAGCCTTCTTACCGGAATGAGATGTGTAGTTGATTATTCTCTCTATGTAGATTTGATTACTTGTTCTGATTAGTTCTTTACTTTGAAGAAGTTTGTTTCCTCAGTGCTAGATGTCTGTATATAGATTCTGGCTAGTTAAAGAACAAACTTGTAATTTAGTATCATGGTAAAGTTAAGATTGTTGAGACTAGTGTGCCGATTGTGAATGACATAAGTTGAGATAAGGTTGAAGTAGAACCAACTGCACATGATTGACGGAGTAATATTAGGTTTGCCATTTCAACATAGCCTATCATCTCCTTTAGGAGGTCCAAATGGTTCCGGTTGAAGGGTTCCAATGACGATGCTTGAGATAGAACCGGAATGTGGTTTAGGTAGAAAAGTTACCATGGCCTTTGATTAATTTGAGTGTATGGTTTGTACAGAGCAGAGATGGAAATACTGGTTTCTGTAGTTGACTTAAATACATTTTATTTAGTTGAAATTTTAAATTTTAGGTTGTTATCCATGTAAAAGGAATCACTGTGAAAATTACCACTTTTCCATTATTTATTTTTTCTAAAGTTGCCCTTTACCACAGTAAGCTGGAGTGTTTAAATAGCAGGTGCATGTGTGACATGATCCTTTTCTTCATGGTTTTTTCATGTGGTAGCCTCATGGCACTATCACAAATTTTTGATTTAATCACCCTATGAATGCAACATCTTTAGGCTGGTATTCTGTTTGGTATTGAATATTTTTCATTTCGGGGCAGTTTGATAAAATATCTTTTAAACAAAATCGCCATCAATTATCACTCTATGTGACATGATCCTTTTTCTTCATGTTTTTGTCATTCGGTAGCCTCGTAGTCATTATCAAAATTTTGATTTAATCAACCCCTATGAATGCCACATCTTTGGTGGATTCTGTTGTAGTATTGAATTTTTTTCATTTTGGGCAGTTTGATATATCCTTTGAACAAAATCACCATCAATTATCACTCTCTGTCCATATGATCCTTTTCTTCATGTTTTTTTGTCATTTCGTACCTCGTAGTCACTATCACAAAATTTTGATTTAATCAACCCCTATGATGCTAACATCTTTAGCTGGTATTCTGTTGTGTATTGAATTTTTCATTTTGGGGTAGTTTGATAAAATATCTATTTAAACAAAATCGCCATCAATTATCACTCTCTGTGACATATGATCCTTTTCTTCATGGTTTTTGTCATGTCGTAGCCTCGTAGTCACTATCACAAAATTTTGATTTAATCAACCCCTTTGAATGCTAACATCTTTAGTTGTTATTCTGTTGTAGTATTGAATTTTTTCATTTTGGGGTTGTTTGATAAATTATCTATTTAAACAAAATCGCCATCAATTATCACTCCTTGTCTATGAAAGGGGATTTCAGTTTGATTAGTGATTGTTTTGATGACAATCAAACGTGTTTTTAGAATTTGTGACTTAAATATGTTCATATTCATATATGATGCTTCACAGTAGTCTGGGATCTAGATAAACAGCTTGGACCTTCACTTTCAATCGCTTCAATGAAGGTTGATTCTGCTTTTTTTGCGGGCATACTTGTATTGTTGTGATCCCAATATAACATCTCCTAAGTGAGAAAATATTGATCATTTAACTAACAATTACCTGGAATTACTCTGTTTTAACAAGGCATTTCTCCATCAGTGAATAAATTGTTGATTGACATCAAGGGCACATCTCCTTTGTACCAGTATACCAGATTAAGCTGGGGACTCGTTTGTGAGTGTAGATCCTCGAAATAGTGGCAAGGTATATATGGATGTTAAAAATAAGCTCGAGGTCTCTCTTTGAAGTCTTATCCAAAGAAGGAAAACAACAAAACATATTGCACACATACGCACAATTCAAGGTATGACTGTTGGTGCTATTATGAAGCCGAAGCTTATTGGTTCAGACTTTGAACATGAACATAAAAAGACAACTGAGTGGAAGTATTCTCTAGATATGCCACTGTGAATAAAAGAACGGTAGAGGCAGTTTGGGTTGTTGGTGGATGCAGGTAAGACAGCATTATTCAGAAAATCACGAATCATCATACATTTTATTATTTTATGTTGATGATGGAGCCTCTTACATTTAAAGCATAGATTATTGCTGTCACAAATCTGTCTTGGGGTATGCATATAATTATTATAATGATAAAATGAGGTATCTTTAGGTAATCCTAGAAGAATATTTAGGGAAAAAAAAAAATTACTTAGTTATTAAACATCTAATGACAAATTACGTGAGAGTCGTGTTGATTTAGAAACAGATAATTTTTGGATGGTTTTCATTCAATAAGAAATGAGATTGGTTGTTGGATACATTAATCCTTGGCCACTAAACCACACATGCACATGCGACTCATTCTTAAGGAGATTGGTAATATGGAACTTGAGAGTTAACTATTTTTTTTTCATCTAAACAATAGTTTAATGACATTTTTCTATCCATTGACTTCGAAAATATCACTTTACAATCCAAATTTATATTCCAACAGGGAATAGAGAGTAAACTTAATCTAGATTGTTGGGTCTTTTGAAGAGGGGAGACCGATGAGTCTTTTGATGGTAGAAAGTTGGATTTTGATGGTTAAAATTGATTGGAATTTGACTTAGAAGAGACGGTTGCATAAACCCTAATCATTCGGTTGCCAGTGATTAGCGAGGTTGACAGGAGTAAAGTTTGAGAGGTTTTGGTGAGTGGTGATTAAGGAAAAAAATGGTGGTGGTGTGAGGCCATAACAATGTTAAAATCGAAAATAGAATATAAATTTGGGTAGTAAAGTGGTATTTTAAAAGTCGGTAGGTGAAAAAATGTTATTAATACATTATTTGGGTAGGAAAAAGTCGTTTACTCGGAACTTGAAGGCTACAACCAGGAACCATGACTGAAACAAATTATTAAACCTTTTAAGAGTAAAAAAAACCAGGATTTACCTTTGAAATGCTGAACTCACTGTTACAAGTTCTATTTGAGAAGTCTACAAATTACAGCAGCACTTACGCAACAAAAAGGAAAAAAAACTCAAAATAGAGGATTGTTAAAACATAAAAGTGGCATGACTCATAGCTTTGTAAGATATAATTAATGAAAGTTCCTCCCCACTAATCAGGAACGTAAATGTTGGAAAAGCTGACCAGTAGTTAGCTTTATTCAGCAATCTAAGTTCTGAACCATCAAATTTGACAACATGATCATCATCAACCTAGCTCTCTTGCAATAATTTGTTGGAGCAAATATAAAATTCTTCATCTCTCACTATGAAATATAATATAATAGTAGGAGCACCAACCTAGCTTAAGCATGACTGCAGTGGACTGCATGTGATGCAACTTTTTTTTACGAGTTTCTTCGAACAAGACAGGCTGAAACCCACTTTGCTCTTTAGAAGACATGTCTGTGGAGTAAAAAAAGAAAACTTGTTCACCATTTATGGAGTAAATTAGTGGATGAAGTTTTTTACATGCACTAACTGGTGGGAAAGAAGGTTTAAAATTAATAATGAATTCAAATCATATGATTGAATACAAAACTACATTCATTGTATATATTCAACAAGCTAGCAAATTAATTAATTATTTTAACTTTTCTTTTTCTTTGGTTAACTATTTTTAATTACAAATACATTTGAAAGGGACTTCTTGTTCAGCTTCTTTTTCCGCACTTCCCACACTTTAATTTCTCCATCAAGGCTACCACTACAAATCGAGACGACACCGTTGCACCCACCTCTTTTGATGTTTACCAACGATTTTACTGGTTTTTCATGCCCTTTTAAGATTGTAATACAACGATAACCATTCTCCCCACACTGCCAAACCCTCACCGTTCGATCAGCTGATCCACTCACTATCAAATCATCAACATTGATCAAACACAATATAGCTCCTGTATGACCCCGCAATGCTTCCACAAACACCATCTGATCACCGTTGTTTTCTCTCCCCCACACCACAATCGAATGGTCACAACCACCCGAAAACAAAAGCGAACCGTCACCCTTCAATGCAAGAGCATTGACTGTTGACTTATGCCTCTCTAATGTTGCAATTAACGTGTGTTTACCATCTTTATCAACTTTCTCCCAAGCTCTTATAAGTCCATCGGCTGACGCTGTGTAAACGACGCCGACATCCGATACGGCCACTGCGTTTACGGCATCTTCATGCGCTTTTACAGATTCTAAGCACCGATAAGTTGTGGGGTTCCATATCTTAAAACTTTTGTCCCAAGAAACTGAATACATTAACCCTTCTTTGACTACTAAATCTGAAACTGTATCCCAGTGTTCAAGCCAAAGCCGCTTCTTGTGACGCCTGACAGTCGTGTAGTTTTTGGGCAACATGAAGTGGAGAAAACGGTCTTTGACAGTGGGTAGTGTGGAGACAAGTTGGTGTTTTTTCGATGGTGTCATTTGCCAGACTCTGATTTTGCAGTCTTGATGGGCGGTGAAGACTTTTGTACTGCTAAAAGCTATAGACTTGACGGATCCAGCAGATAAATCATTGCTATATGTATCGATAAGGGTATAGTTAGATAAATCGAATACGCTGATTTCATTGATGGAGGCCACGTAGAGAAGGTTGTTGCGGGCTGCAAGGCAGCTGATATGAGGGTTTGGAATTTTAAGAGTGGTAATGCATTGATGTTGGAATTTTTCATGAGAGAGTGAAGAGAAACTATGCCCATTGGAAGACATGATTTTTTTTGGGTTTTGGGAGAGCAAACGGGAGAGTGAGAAATGAGAAATATATAATAATCGAGACTGAGGTTAGGGTTGTAGAACATGTGGAAATTATTTTAATGGAGCAATTAGTTTTGGGTTTTATGAAGTTGAAACGTGGCAAGTGTAGCAGTGGACAGCTGAATTAATTGAGGGCCTACGAATCAATTGAAAGTGGCGCATGGCTGTTAGATGCCGACGTGGTGTAAGAATAGGCGGCACAAATCTAAACGTTGAAAAGTCCACACAACACAGAAAGATTAAAAATAAAAAGTAAAGGTCATTAAGTAAACAATACCACAAATTGATTAGCAATCCATAAGCCCTAAAACACGTGTGGTTGGATTTGTGAGACTGGGATTAATAAATTACACAAAAACGCAACAATCAGAGATGTCCAATCGATCTTGACGGGATTAAACAAGATGTGTGCGTGGTTATGTATAACTAGTTAAGAACAGATTAGAAAATAGATAATGAAAGGATAAGAAACGATTTTTAAAGTGGTTCGACAAGTTAAGAACAAGTCTACATTCACTATTATGTTATTGCTTTATGTTTACCTTATACATAGATTGATTACAGGGAAAAAGAACCTAAAAATGAGGATCAACACTCTTTAAGTGGGTTTCATATTCTTGTATGAATGATTGATCCCCCAAAACTGAGGTGGTTTCTATTTTTTATACACCATTGACAATGGTTGGGAATTATTGTTACGGGGTGGATTACACGCATAATCCCTCGTAATTCGAATCTAAGTAAGCATTCCCATACGTAAAATTGATCACTCATCCTTAATACTGATAATCTTACTAATGAAGTCATCTGTTGTGGGGATAACACATGAGAAGAGCATGGCCATTAGGTTCTTTTGCCTTACACACAGACTGATTACAGAGAAAAAGAACAATAAATAAGGATCAACTCTCTTTAAGTGGGTTTTCTGTTCTTGTGCGAATGGTCTGTCCTCAAAAAATGAGGTGGTTTCTCCTTTTTATACACTATCTAATAGTGGTTGAGAGTTATTGTTATAGGATAGATTATACGTATAATCCCCTTGAATGTGCATTCCCGTGCCATGCTTAACACCGATAATCTTGCTAATAATGTCATCTGTTGGGGGTGACACGTGGAGCAAGCATGGCCGTTAAGTCCCGGCATGATGTAGGGACAGGTGGGACTAATCTAATCGTTGAAAAATCCGCACAACGCAGAAAGATTAAAAAAACAAAAACAAAAGTAAAGGTCATTAATTAACAATCCCATAAATTGATTAGCAATCCATAAGCAAAAAACAAGTGTCGCGGAATTTGTGAGACTGGGATTAATAAATTAGCAATTCCTTGAAAAAGTATAGTTGTATATTTGATTTTGGAAACATCGCTGAAACGCATATATTTATGGGTTCTGTTTCTGAAGTATTTTAAAACATGTGATCAACCACTACGACATAATCATAACCAAAGCACCAAAAGATAGTTAATTTCAATAACCTGAATCCGAGCAAACGTAATGAGATCTTCTTTTACCATTACGCATCCTGGGGACAATCAAATATCGTTCGTACATGAAAGATGCCTGGGCACGCTTCAGATCGATCCCGTCGTTCACATCCCTTTGCTCATACATTCCCATAATATATGGATAAAGAGCCATCACTGCTTACACTCCCGTTGCTTAATAAGACCTTTTTTTCGTGGTTTCATATAAAGCTGCATGCAGTATTAATTGAAACAGGGCTAATCTGTTAAGCTCAGCGTAAGTTGTTCCAGAATCAATCAGGCGCAGACCGCCAAGTCCACCCTCTGCATGTTGAAATTAAGACCTTCTCTAGGAATTCCATTCATTAATTTCTCACCAGATCCTCTACGTTTTTGAAAAAGTATAAGCTGAAGTTTTTGCTGTGAGATAATTCTGGACGCACAGAGAAAAATCATAGTGAGTCTATTGCTTGGTATTGTTCCTAGCTATAGCAGATGGTGATCGAAAAGAAGAATGAGTCTTGCAATATAATTTTAGGGGAAAATCCAAGGGGATTCCACCAAGGATGGATCTCTGATCGATGCCTAAGTCAGCATGTTGATTTATATTATTAAAGAGAAATAAAGAGAGCTTAATCATGCATCTAAATCTTGAAAGTGAAACCCTTTACCTGATGATGAAATCTTTCTTTATTTATACAGTGTATTCATCACAAGTGACAAATGAAGTCTAAGGGAGAACCCATATGAGAGTTTTCAAGAATCATATGATTGTATATTTCTGTGTGTGTGAACTATACAAAGGAGGCCTCTATATATAGTGGAGAAGGCCAAAGTTAATAAAGAAATACACTATATGGAAAGATTCTAACCTAGCATAATTACAGGAAATTATAGCATAATTACAGGAATAATCATATATTCTATGGATATTATAAGATATTAATATATATATTCTAGGGATATTATAAGATACTAATATATATACTAACATCCCCCTTCAAACTCTTGGTGGCGAAGTCAACTGGAGTTTGGAAACAAGATCACCAAGTCGACCAGGTGGATGGTATTTCGTAAAAATATCAGCAAGATTATCTTCAGAAGAAACTGAATGTAACTAGAGGACGCCCTGCTGAAGGTGGTGGCGGTTGAAGTGACAATCAATCTCAATATGTTTAGTACAACACATCATTATGCGCAATTTGGATGGCACTACGATTATCACAGTGAAGAGGAGAACTTATTGATTGAGGAACACCCATATCTTTCAGAAGCCAGCATAACCACAAAAGTTCATATGTCGTATCAGCAAGAGCGCGATACTCGGCCTCAATGCTAAAACGGGCAACAACAGACTGTTTCTTACTATGCCAGGAAATCAAAGAAGTACCAAGTAAGAAACAATAACTAGTGGTGGAGCAACGATCAATAGGATCACCAACCCAATCTGCATCAGAATAGGCCTGTAGCTCCAAAGAGGAGTGGGATGAGAAGTGCAGACCATGAAACATAGTACCCTTGATGTAGCGTAGAATTCAAATAACCACAGCAAAATGGGTAGATCGAGGTGCACTCATAAACTGAGTGACCAGATGAACTGTTGACTAATGTGTCAAAAGGTTACAATTGTAATTTGAACAACTTTGGCTACAATTGTAATACTATGTCGTTTTACTCTTTCATTACTTAGCTAAAGTAACTTTACTCTTTCAGTGTTACTTTACTCTTTCATTACAAATTCATATATAGCGATATTGCTATACTTATTCAATTAATGAAAATTAGTCTCTACAGATCGTTTGCTCTAAATTCACTCTCTCAAATTTCATCTTCTCATTTGTTCTTTGTTATTTCGATATGGTATTAGAGCATTGACTAGCATCAATGGCGAAAGATTCTGGCAAAAATTCTAGCTCTTCTTCCTTGCTTAACAGCTTCGAAGAGATGTTGAGAGATTATGTTCAGCGTTCCACCTCAGCTCAAGCATCAAGCTTGCAAGTTATTAATCCGAAGCTCACACGCAATAATTACCGGTTTTGGAGCTCACAAGTCTTGTTTACGGTTGGATCACATGAACTTGAGGATCATTTGCTTGGTAAAATTCAATGTCCCTCTCCTCTTTTACTGTCTAATTCTGAAATTGATAGTGACCTACGTCAACTTAGAGGCGATCTTAAAACTAGTTCTGATTCTATTGGTGATAAGTTGAATCCTGCATATGTTATGTGGAAACGTACTGATAGATTCCTTGTAAGCTAGCTTCTGGCTTCTATATCTGAGAGTATGTTTGGAGTTGTGTCTAAGTGTCGTTACTCTTTAGAAATTTGGAGTGCTTTTGCAAACAAGTTTATAAGTGATTCCAAAGCAAGAGCATTACACCTTAAAAATTTGTTACAGACAACACACAAGTGTAATTTGACTATTGCAGATTACATAAAGAAAATGAAAGAAATAGATGAGAGCTTATCTACTAGTGGATTGGTTGTCTCTAATGAAGATCTCTTACAATATGTCTTAGACGGTCTAGGGCCTGAATATGATGCAGTAGTGGTGAACCTTACCTCTAGGCTTGAATCGAAGGTTGATAATGTCACATTGCAGGAGGCTCAATTTTTATTGCAAAAGTATGAGATTAGGTTGGAAAAATTTAACTCCACTGATTTGTATAATAGCTCTGCCAATTTAACATCTGTTAGCAATCTTGGAGTACTTAGTGATGTGACTAATGCAGCTTCCCCAGTTAATTCACATTCTAATGCTAAACCTCCTCCTATTCCACATCCTTATGTTTTTTCCACACTCATCTCATTAGGAAATCCACACTATCAACAATAGTATGTTGTTCCAACAACTGAGAATTACAATACCAGCTCTATGCAACAATCTTTTCCTATGTTTAACTCCAGACCTGCTGGTTTTCAATCATACGGAAGGGGTAGAGGTAGAAGCTTTGGCAAAAACAGACTAATATGTCAAGTTTGTAACAAGGCTAGTCACTCGGCTGTCCAGTGCTATCATCGTTTCAATTTAGCCTATAATGGTGCCTACAATGGTGTTTTTAATGGAACTCAATAGCAAACTCACAATGGTTATGGTCCATCACCACAAATGTCTCATGTTCAGCAGCCTTTCCTTGTCTATAGTTTATCCACTGCACATGGATCCTCAGTACCAATGACCAATCCTCAGCAGCATTACTCTAATACCTATACTACTACTAATCCAAACACTACTCATCCAAGACCTCAACAATTTACCAACAACAGTTTGCAAAATCCAGCCTGTCCATAACCTCAGTTTCCACAACCTCAGTCTGAAAATGTCCCACCTTCCTCTATTGGTGTTCCTAGTCAACAGATGACATGAAACAATCAAGCTTTTCTTGCTGCCACCGGTACAGGGTCTTTTATTCAGAACAATAATGGAATTGTTGGCTCATACTCACAACATAATTCCCCAACCATGCCTTCTGCTCTTGCCACTTCTTTCACTCCATCTGATC